GGTAAACCCGAGGGTTACCCACGACCCTAACGAGTTTATCCATTAAACCCATAACCCTATTAGGGTAACCCACCAAAACCCGTTTATTTATATGGGTAAAAAAATCTAATCCAAACCCGCTAAAATTTTGGGCGGGTTTGCGTAACTGTGGGTATTGACCCATTTTGACACCCTACGGTCGAGTCACAAAGATTTGGTGTGTGTTTTATGATCTTTTCGTTTATATACGTCTTCAGCTTCCATGTGCGTGTTCACAACTTATATAAGTGATAGTGTGTCCATTCTTAGAGTATAAGCGAAAATACATAAGTTTCCTTATTTCTGGAGCCGATTGTGCAATGCATTTCAACTAGCATAAACACATCATACGGCACACACAAACAATATAGTGCTAACAATAGTTTTCTCTTAAATCTTTGGAGGACTAAAATCTTATTGCAAACGATGTTAATCAGCACATCATCAGAACAACCGCCTACAATATAAATAAATTAAAATTTGCAACGATGGTAATAAACAAAGTGACTGTAATTGCCTTTGTAAGTTCAAGTATAACTACAATATATTGTAGGATATGAGCATTGAGAGATTGTGCAGTCTTTTTCATGAGTTAATTTTTTTTCCTAAGATACATTTTGTTACATCCATGCTTTGCACTTTGGCATGGGATGAAGATTGATTCGAGCACATTTGTTATTTCTCCACATTGATTGTGGCTAAGGAAAACCACATGTATGACATCTATTACGTAGTTTGGTGTAGCATGAAGAGCAAGCAAAAAGGCCATTATCACTCTAGCATATAGGGATAACCGTTTTGGATCGACGAGTCATGCGGTAGTGCCAACAGTTGAGAAAACATTGGGACTGTGGGTTGAGTGCAATTTTTGTCATGGAATAACGCGAGTATAAGCAATGATTGGATCACCAAAGTTGTTGGGTACGTGCTCTACATGCGGATGCATGTTTTGGGTAACGATTGGATCGCATATTTGGTGGACCACGTGATGTGCATGATATTGCATGATGACACTAATTTTAACCGAGTAAACACTTTGCAAAAGTCATTGTCCTTAAAATCCAAATTTATATATGCTCGAATTGTCTATAAACCCATCGTTAGGCGTTTTCCCATCATATA